TCTTAAAGCAAGATCTATTACCCGAATTGACAAAATAAAAAAAAAAATATTTTTCAAAAAAAAAAAAAAAAATTTAAAAAAAACTTTAAAAAATTTTTTTTTAAAAAAAATAAAAAATAAATAAAATTATAAGGTTTGTTATTTCACGTTGTATTCGATTGATTAATCCCAAATATTAACATCATTTCCTTCTTCATAATAATTGAATTCTGGGCCATCTTCATCGTCATCTGGAGTTAATTCTGAAGTTAATTCTGGAGTTAATTCAACGCTTTCACTTTCTTCTTCGATGCTGACTCTTTTACTTTTCTTATCTGATACTTTTTCAAAGTCAAAAATTGTATTATCTTCAGACCCGTCTACTTCTGTAGATATCCCACAGCATTTGAAAGAACGTCATATCATAGCAGGGTCAATATTGTTCCACGCTTTTTTGATCCAGGTAGTCACAAGTGAGTATGATGGTCGTTTGATTTTACCGGCTGGTGTGTATTTTTTGATGGATTCATCCATCCAACGATTATAGGAATGGCGAACCTGTTATAAAAAAATAAAAAAATAGAGAATTGATAAAAAAAATTTTTTTTATATCAAATTTTACAATTGTTGCACAAGGATCTTTTGATTAGATAAACTTGTTTTTATTGGCTAATTGAAATTATATTATAGCGTGACCAAAAATTTGACTTTACACCTGAGTATTGTTTTTATCATGTAATGCTAACCTTTGCCTTAAATGCTTTATTCAAGGATACATCTAATGGCTGTAGGCGTGAGGTTAGTCCAGATAGAATTAAAGCTATATCTGTATTTCGCTCACGAAGACGACGCTTTACGGAATCAGTTTTATGTGCAGTAAATGCATCCAAAACAAGAAGCGAACATGGATTGGAACCCAAGTTGGCCCACCGATGCTACACATTCTCCACCCACCAAATCATATACACTATCAGGAAACTTCTCTTGTGGTATATTAACTAACTTAAAAATAATAAAAAGGGGGAAGTTTAGTACCATCCACAAGACACGCAAGAGTTACAGTAAAATTTGTGCATTCGTGACCCGTTGTAAGAATTGAGATAGTTCGTGTTCCACATTCTTCAACAATACTTTGACTTGGCATGTTAAATGCCATAGGAGTTTCATTCATGTTGCCAATTAAATTTAGGGGGTAGTTATATTCAGTTCGGCGATAAAGAATAAATGATAAAAAATTTTGCTGTTGTTCTTGATAATCCTCTGGTAACTTTTGTGCTGTTGTAGTATGTTTGCGGTACACCAATGTATAACGAGACATAAATCTATCCACCCACTTATGCGAAAATTGATATTCATAAACATCAGGATACAAAGTACAATATTTTTGTTTGGCGGCCAAACTGCGGGCTTTAGCACTGATCATATATCTAGTAATTGTTTTTAGCTGCCTTCGTAACTCACGAAACCACTCTAAACGTTCTTCTTCAAGTTGTGGATACTTTGGTCGTGCACCAGTATTAAGTCGTCGAATGTATAGAGCTGCACGTATTAATTCCTCTTTTTTATTTTTTCAGTCTTGAACTTGTTTTGGCTCAATTTCAAATTTATTTGCTGTTACACGAATACTGTGCCCGCCTTCTTGATAAAATACAACCATCAATTTTTCACGAACATTCTACTGTCTGTGCTTTTTTTGCGTACTTGTTGCTCGTCGTGCATTAAAATTTCCTTTGGCATTTTTAGACAAAAAATTTTTTTTTAAGATTAAAATTTTCACGTTTTTTTATAAGATCACGAAGTAGATGTCAGAGCATAAATGCCTTAACCGTTATACAAATTAATCAGGGAGAAACATTATAGGAGGTAAATTTATTCTACTGCTAAATTCTCATTACGATCCTAAACCTTCAATAAAAATGTCTTTGATTCTAATACAATATTCAATCACAAGTATTTTTTCACTATATTTAAGCTTCTCAAAGCAATTGTTCGAAAGAATCTTTCTATATCCTTTTTTTTTTTTTTTTATTTTAATTATTTAATTTAATTTCCTGTAACTTATTTAATTCTTTCATTATGCGGCAGGTTCTTCTCAATACAACTACATTATTTGACTATTTTTTTTTTTAATTGATAAATGTGTTGTTTTAACAGCCTAATAATTCAAGTTTCGTTACTAAGTTTCTTGAAGGTTTTATTAGTATATTAAACTAATTAAAAAATATATATTCAATATACCTATAAAAAAGTTTGTTAGGTTTATCGTAGAGATTCATTCAACAATTCATAGAGCATACAGTATTGACTATTTTTGTAGTATTTTTGTCATTTGTATAAAACGTATGATTATCCTTATACAAGACCCCCCATATACAATATCCCCTGCATATTGTATCCTTCTATAAATAGTACCCGGCTCTTCACACAGTACTCCCGGGTACTATTCAATTTTAAAAATTAAGTTCTTAAAAAAGATCCTGGGTACTTTATGCAGTGGCCAACGATAAATATTTTAACTATATACATACGATACAATTTAATTGGCCAATAATTAGCTATTAGTCAATCAAAATTTGTATTATCCCTTAAACCGTAATGCAGACAAATTTGTCTGCTAAAATTTTTTATGACCTATATTTTTTTGTTATTACTCTAGATTTTATTCTATATTTTCTAAGCTAGAATAAAAGTGTATAATATGCTTGTTGTCAAATAACCATTAACTTGTGGAATATATTTAACTGTGCCCCAAAAATTACTTTAGTAAGGTTGATCATACTATGATCTTTATATTCAAATTTAATAATAAAAAAGGTAACTATCACATGACAAATATAAATAATTTTCATAATCATTATATAGAGATACCTTTTATAATATAATATTAGAGTTGGTCAAAGATCCTTTATAACCAATATCACAGAACTAATTTTGGAAGTAATGGTAGGAAAATAATATGTTCCAAAAGATCAAGTCAAATAGCATGTTTTATAGCTATTATGTAAACTTATGCTATCTGTTTAGATAATTTTTAGTATATAACACTGCGATTATTAAATATGATATATGACTCAAGTTTTTAGTAGTCACGATAGTTGATTAGAATAAAGATTTTTATAAAAAAATTTTTTTATATGTCCTATATTTCATCCAATTATTTTAGTGGGCAAATTTGTCTACTAAATTTTATAGTTTAAGAGATAGGTTATACGAAATAATGTGAGCTATAATTGTATATATTAATTTGTTTTACATATCAACATTATTTGCATTACCAGTAATTTGGATTAATTTATATACAAAATTTTCTGTATCTCTGACTCTGGATATAGGCATTTTATCCTATACCAGGGGGTACAGAAACTTATCCTGTATTATTTAAAGATGATTGGTTAAAACAAAATATTCAAAATTTTTAATATCAAATGAAGATGTCTTAATAAATATCTATCCAAATCCATAGAATTTTTTTTATTTGAATTCTACAAGTTTGTAGAATTCAAATAAAAAAAATTTTATCGAATTCGGTTAGATACTTGCTGAGATATCTTTGCTCAAAGTTTAGAAAAATCTGCACGTCTATTAAAAAATACAAGTTGACCAAAATTCATAAAACTTTGAGCGAAGATATCTTAGCAAGTACCTAACCAAATTCGATAAATTTTTTATTTAAATTCTATGGAATCATATAATTCAAATAAAAAAATTTTCCTGAGATTAATTAGGTATTTGCCGAGATATCTTCGCTCAAAATTTAAAAAAACATTTGTATATTAAAAAAAAAAGCTATGCCAAAATTTATAAAACTTTGATCGAAGATAACTTGGCAAGTATCTAACCAAATTTGATAAAAAAATTTTTTATTCAAATTCTATGAATTTGTAGAATTTAAATAAAAATCTTTTATCGAATTCGGGTAGATACTTGCCGAGATATCTTCAAAGTTCTACAGTGCAGGAATCCTTAAATTAGTAACCGAAAACTAATAATTCTTTAAACTTTTATAAAAAAATAAAAAATATAATTAAAAGAAAAAATCTTTCTATAGAA